TTTTGGTTTTTCTACGGTACCGGGAACCGAACTCACGACCTTGCGCTTGCCAGGCAGGCGCTTTTGCCGCTGAGCTAAATCCCCAGCCCCCTTTTTTTTTTTTTGAGACAGGGGTCTCACTATTTAATTCAGGCTGGCCTTGAACTCACAGCAATCCTTCTGCCTCAGCCTCCCAAGTTCTGGGATTATAGGTGTGCGCCACCACACCCAGCTTATGTTAGCAACTTTTTAAACTGGAAAAGTCATCTGCTGTTCAAGGTCTGCTGTTCCAAACATGACAGTAGTCCATATCCTGAGATGGGCTCTTCTGGTTGTCTCATGATGAATTTTGAGCTAGCTCTTCCAAGAGAATTTTAGAGTATTCACAACTAATTTGGGTTATTAAAAGATTGACACATAGCCACAAATTCATCAAAATCCACACTGGTTATCTCCAGATTTCAGGGGCCAGGTGTTCTCCAAAGAGTACACACAGGGATTCTCTCATTTAGAAAAAGAGAACATGGTCTCCTAAACGTTTAGGAAGGACAGCAGAAAAATGTGGAACTCTTTTTGTTTAAAGGATACCAACTTTCAAAATGGTGATTCCCAGGCCAACTTTTTCTCAAAAATGTAGCTAAAATAATATATATCAGAGCTATCCAACTAAATTTTCTAGGATGGTGGAAGTGCCCTCTATTGCTATTTATTGACCAGCATGTGTGGCTACTGAGCACTTGAAATGTAGCTAGGGCCAGGCGTGGTTGCACACACCTGTAATCCCAGTACTTGGGAGGCTGAGGCAGGAGGATTGTTATGAGTTCAAAGCCAGCCTGGGCTATAAAGTGAGTTCAGGCCAGCCTCCACTGCATAGTGAAACTATGTTTCAAAAAGAAAAAAGTAAAAGGGAGGAGGGAGTAGCTCAGTACAAAGGCCCTAGGTTCAATCTCCAATACTGCCAAAAAAAATGTGGAACAGAACAACTCAACTTTAATTTTTATTTAACTTTAGTTCATTTAAACTTATAGAGGGCTGACGATACAGCTCAGTGGCACAGTACCTGCCTAGCAAGTGTAAGGTCCTGAGTTCATTCCTAATACCCAAATAAATAAATAAATAAACAAACAAACTTATAGAGCCACATGTATGTCAGAGCTGCCACTCAACACTGAAGCTTTAGCATAACCGTGAAGTGGGAACTCATACTATCAGCACTGAGACAGGAAAAAGCCCACACACTTTCAGTCCCCACCACGGTCAGCAGAGAGGGGCACCGAGTGGAGAAGGGGAGAGCACACAGAGGAGCCGAGACCACCGACCCTCAGCAGCTCTTTCTCCTGTCTTGTTTTTCCACAAGCTGACAGCTCTCCTCTTCCATGGCATATGGGTACCTGGCCACGGGTCATGATTATTAGCCTTGATTAAGGTCAGGTTTTGGTGCAAGGGGCAATTTAGGAAAGAAAAAAGTTGAGAAAAACTTGTAAGAAAGAATCCAAGGGGGCAGCACCCTGCCTGGCCAACAGAGGGTGCGGCAGCCCGGCGAAGCTTGACTGCCCTGCTCTGCGTGGTCACAAAAGCTGGTCCGGAGGAAGCTCGGCAGTGCCAAGGGCTTCCTAAAACCAAGTGTCAAATGATTATTTGATTGTTCACTCACGTGTAGCTCCATTTGTTTTCCCTAGAGACCACTTTGGAGAAACCAAGATATAGTACAACAACCATTGATAATTTCCCGCCATTTTTGTCTAACTCACTATTATTTGTCTGTTTTCCCGAGAAACTATCTTGAAGATATCAACAGGTAAAATAACCACCATGGATAATGTCCTGCCACTTAGTCTGTAATTCGATGAATCCCCCTATTGCTGTCGTCCTTCTTTTACTCTTTAAAAACAAGCAAACAAACAAAAAACTGTCTCAAAGCAGAGCTTTACCAGAGGCAAGGGACAGGTTTTTTAAAAAAGAAAAGTAATACCTACCTTTACCACTGATTTGGATTGATCCTATTCTCCCTTACAGTACTTACCAGCCAATAAGTAATAGAGTCAATTTTAACCAACATTCTGAAAACTAGAAATAGCTGTGGTATTTGAATTTTTAGAACAGCAAAGGGCCAGATGCCCCAAGATTCAGATTCCCCACAGGTACTTACCAAAATCTGGAGTTCTTTTTCCAAAGCCTCCTTCCCTTGACTGACTTCACTCAGACTGTCCTGCAGGCTAGTGAGCTTTAGCGCTTTCCCCTGGAGCTCTTTGGTAATGCTACTAGCCTAACACACAGCAGTACATGGTACAGAAGTAAATGAACAAAGAGGAAACAAAAAGAGTAAGAAGAAAAAAACAAAATAATGCAAAAGATTATGAGAAACAAAACTGAAAGGAATAAAAAAGTAATTTTTATAATTCCAAGAAGCCAATGATTTTTGGGGTTTTTTTGTTGTTGAGTCAAGGTCTTGCTATGTATTCCAGGCTGGCCTTGAACTTGGCAATCCTCCTGCCTCAGCCTCTTAAGTGCTGGGATTACAGACACATGCCACCACCTCCAGCAAATAATTCTTTTTTTTTTTTTTTTTTTTGACACAGGGTCTCACTATGTAGCCCAGGCTGGCCTTAAATTCACAACGATCCTCCTCCCCTGGCCTTCAGAGTGCTGGGATTACAGGCGTGTAATCTACTTTCAGTTGGTCTATCTGTGACCAACTGGTAATCTACTTTCAGTTGGTCTATCTGTGTCTTTAACTTGGCCAGTTCTGCCGTCTCCATCCCAAGCCCTTTGAAGGACACCTTCAGCGCCACCACACCCGGCCAATTCCTTCTTAATATGATCATCTAATGGCTATTTTTTAAAAGTCAAAATAACTATTTTGCTATACTTAAATTTGGACTATCAACATGCTCTAAAGCAGAAAGTGCTAATGCTTACTTTTGAAATGAGCTACTTAACCAAGTTCATTTTCTGGACTTTAAAAACCTTAACACTAGGGGTGTGGCTCATCAGTAGAGCCTGTGCTTAGCAGCTACAAGACCCTAGGTTCAGTCACCAAAAAAAAAAAAAAAAAAAAGAAAAAGAAAAAGCCTGTACATGTAGTCTGTTATTTTTCCCTATTTTGGTATATGCTTGAAGTACTTCAACGCTTAAATCCAATTAACTTCTATGTTTTGACCTGTATTTCAGAAACACAGGAGGAGACTGGAGAACACTTTCCTGCAGCCAGCCTGCCATCTTCTACAGTCACCGAGCAATTTTTCAGTGTTTAGTCCCTCTCCACTCCCCATTTAACCAGCACAACCCTTCCTTTTTTGCCAGTAGAGCAGCTCTACAAAAAAGCTCAGGACATTCAGCATCAGTATCAGGGCCCCAACTAGTGGCAGACGGAAAGAAGTCCTCACACAATCCCTCAACGTGAGCATGACAAGCCTGGTTAATAAGAAATGCGGCTGGCAGGTGTTTCACGCAGCTCCCTGGCTGTCACCAGAAGCACCCTTGTCCAGTCTACTCTCAAAAAGCAAGGGGTGGGCGGACTGTGTCCTCACTACGGCATGCACAAAGCTTCTAATGGAACGTAAGGGGCAATTCAGTGGGCTCTGGGTTCCCCAACTTCACGTATTCCTGATGTGAACGTGACTCATCATAGTATGTTAGCTCGTAACAGTCAAGAAGTGCTCAGAATTCACTTTCTCATACAGAACCCCACAGTCAAGGCAGTGATATGCTGAGAAAGAGAGAGATGGCTTCACAACTTGCTCTCTCATTCCTTCATTTACCCTATCACCACCGTCTTGGGGAGTTCTCCATTTTAAATGGAGTGCACAGGCGGGAACTAAGATTCAACAGGAGTTCGTGTCATAGCCGAGGCATCAAGTAATGAAGGAGGGGCTCAGATTCTAAGAAACCAAAATAAACTTGGCTGGGTGGGACATTATTTTCTCTCATCTCCTCAGCTGGAAACCATCCTTCAGGCCCCCAGAGGACACTACACTCAAGCAGAAGGAGTCAATTTTACTATATCAGAAATCTGAAAGATGAGCGCCTGTTTTCACTACATCAGAAATCTGAAAGACGAGTGACCTCAACTCAAAAATAACACACAATGCAAAACAATAACAATCAACAAAAGGAAAAAGCATGAAGGGTGTTGATGATACAAACCTTGCCACTTTCGGCCTTCTTTTCAATCTCTAAAGTTTTAATCTGTTTCTCAGCTGCCTCAAGCTGCTGTCTAAGTTTCTTGATTTCCGATTTACCTTCGGAACTGGCTTTCCGAAGAGCATCGAGATCCAAGAGCTTTTCCTCAGTAGCCTTGAGCTGCGATGTAAAATTATCAATAACCTTGGTTTGTTCATTGCATTTGGCTTGCAGTACCTCTAGCTCCTTTACCTTTATTTCAGCTTCCTGCAATTTGGTTAATGTGTCCTCCATTTCTACCAGGTGCTGGTCCTCCACTTTGTCCAGCTTGGATTTGATGGCCTCCAGGCTGCTGTCCTTCTCTTTAATGATGTTCATCAGTTTAGCCCGCAAGGTTTCCATCTCTTTAGCATGCGCAGACCGTTCAGAGTCTTGTTTATTCTGCAAATTTTCTATTTCTTGCTGGTAATCTACTTTCAGTTGGTCTATCTGTGTCTTTAACTCGGCCAGTTCTGCCGTCTCCGTCCCAAGCCCTTTGAAGGACACCTTCAGCGCCTCCATGGCCTGCTGGTGAGACACAATGGCAGTCTGGAGCTTGGACTTCCACAGCGCTATCACATCTGCATTCTCCTTGTTGGCATGGTCCAGCTTGCTTCTCAAGGACTCGTTTTCTTTGGAAAGCTTCTCCGTGGCCGAGTGCAGAGTCTTTATCTCCTTCTGATACGTCTCTTCACAGGCTACAAAGTGCTCCCTCAGAGAAGCCACTTCTCTCTGGTGGTCTGTACGGGTGACCGCTAACTTTTCTTGCAAAGCGCTTATCTCTTGCAAAAGGGAAAGCGACATATCCACATCCCCAGCAGGCTTACTGGACTCTAGCCTTCTTCGGAGCTCAGTTACTTCCTGCACTCGCAACGCTAGGTCTTTCTCTAGTTCCATTATACGTGATTTTTCTGACACTGTAGCCACCTATTAACAGCAGGCCAAAGAAAGAGAGATCGTTTAGTAAACACCAAATCAAGAATGACTTTCTTTGACCTTGAAGATCTTCAAGAAGTACACCATCTTAGGCAGCAGTCAAGCTATTTCAAATGCTTACAGGTTAATTTATCTCTCACTGTGATAACCGCTTAAATCTAATTCTGGTGGCTCCAATTCAAAATGATCATCTCTGACAAATTCCCAAAATTGCGAGATGCTAAAGGAACCTGAAATGGATGCTGAGCTCACCTCTCTCAAAAATACTTCCTTTTCCTCTAAGAATGTTAAATCATTAACTGATTTAGCAGAAACTAAGTTTCAAAATTCTCAAATACATCTGCTTCCTGGGGCAGTGAACGTTCCTTATCTAGCCAGTTTTTTCTACCCTATTTCTCTGAGGCTGCAAAGATCCTTCTCCAGCTGACCCTGGTAATTTACGGAACTGTGCTGTCCAATGAGGCAGCCATTAGCGACATACGACGATGAGGCGTTCACACTCAACTCCTCCCAAGTGAGCGAGGGATGCTGTGAGACACTCATCAGGTTTTGAAGACTTCAGGAAAAAAAGAATATAAAATACCTTAATTTTTACATTGATTATGTGATCAAATAATATTTTGGGAATACGAATTTAAATAGTTTCATTTGTAACTTACTAAAAAGTGAGTGTGAGCACATGGAAACCATCAATTATATATATAACATAGGTATTCTATATTTACATACCTCTTACATTATACACCTATGGACAGCACTGGCATAAAAGGTCTAAAATTCCCTACCAAATGTTTCAATGAATAGTTCACCTAGTATAAAAGCCTGAACTGAATGAAGAAATTACTAACTTTTTTCTAAAACAATAAAATGAGAATGACAACTTACCTGCAATTACACCCTAGAATCTTACGGTTAGCCCCCTCTGGGGACCTGATAATTCTACCAGCACTCTGCCGTACGCGTCTCGCTCCCCTAGCGCTGGGCTCTCCATCTGAGCGTGCACATGAATCACCTGAAACGCACTTCTAAAATGCAAGTTCCCAGCTAACCCACAGACTGTGATTCTATCTGAGCTCTGGAATTTTTTTAAAAAATAAGCACCCCAGGACTAGGGAAAACTCTTAACCTGTGTCTACCTTTAGAAAATTATTTCCCAACGCCACCTGGCAGGCAGTAAGTTTAGAATACAGAATTTGCGGAAAATGGTAACTTTGGGCACAACAATTACTTGACTAACCTGGGAAATAAAAGGGAGTATAGCTACTCCAAACTTAGGACTCCTCTCCATACTGTCTCCATCGGGACAGAAACCAACAGGTAAGCTGCTTTCATCTCTTCTGCCCACCTATCCAGGTTGTAATACTAATAAAATGTCACCCATAAAGAGGAAAAGAAAGTCCCTGATCCTTGAAAACTGCAGGGCCGAGTTGACTGACATTGCTATGTCACAGATACAGATGCATCAGATTAAAAGTGTTCATTCAGTTGTATCCTATTTTGGGGAAGGGCAAGTGTCCAAGAATTTGTGTCCCAAATGTAAAATAGAAAACTTCAATGAGACCCACTGTGGCGGACACAGCAAAGTAATCAAATTAAAAGAATGCCAAGAAAAAAGTAAGTGAAAACGAACCAGGGGCACACCTGATCTCTGAATTCTGGGAAGCTGAGGCAGGAGGAGCACAAGTTCAAGCCCCAGCCTGGGCAACATAATGACTTAGCCAGATCCCCTCTAATTAATAAATAAATGCATACATACATACATAAATGGTTTCCTAAAACTTTTAAAGTAAAACAGTAACATGATTAAAAAATCTTCTTTATGTAACATTTTCGTATTAGGAAAAGCACTTCTATTTTTAATTTTATTTCCCAAAGGCTATCCTCAGAGAAACAGTGTATCTGACTCTTCCACTAGGTTGAGACCATAAAAGTCAGGAATCATTTCTTCTTCTTGCTCATATTTCTACAGTGCCAGGTACACTTCAGTGGATTTATTTGTTTAAAGAAACTCTAAAGTGCTTGCCAGAAAGGAATGTAGATGATACGAAACTTACAGGGATCACTGGTTATTTTCCCACTTGGCAAACCAATTGTGAATTCATCACGGAAGACACATCATTACAGACAGACACAAGCTTCCATTTGAAACATTTAGATAAACCCTGCTGCAAATGGATGCCTTCTCATCAGAGCAGAAAAGAAAGCACGAAGTTCTTTACTGACAGAGTTAAGATATGGGAGAGGAGTCCAGAAGTTTTCAAAGCTTTATGTATTTGTAAAATACATATACTCCCCTTGCTTTAGGAGCTAGTCACACGAAGGGACCTCATCTCATTAGTCCGTTGTATTTCCCAGGTCAGGACTTTGGCTCTCAGGTAGTGAAGAAACAGCACCAAATTACCACTTTTTTTCCTCTTTTTCTTCCCAAATCCACACCAGACATCTTTAATTTTGAGGCTGAGAACATTTTCCTCTTAAAATATAAAGACTTAAATTTGAGAGAAAGATTACCCACTTGTCCAGATTTTAAATCAGTGATTTCTCACCAAGAAAAAGTTCTATAAATACTAGTAATTCAAAGAAAAAAACTGGGATTCCAAATTTGATCAGACACAGAGTAATTTTTTAAACTATTAAAGACTAAACACAGCCAAATGAATGATTTAAAAAGCATATATAAATACATATCTTCATATGTGATACTGATAATTTCTTAGATCGTTCAAGACAAAACTACATCCATAATAGACTTCATCCTTGTTGGTTAAGAACAGACTGTGGGGGGCTGGGGATTTAGCTCAGCGGCAAAGCGCCTGCCTGGCAAGCGCAAGGTCGTGAGTTCGGTTCCCGGTACCGGAGAAAAACCAAAAAAAAA